CCCAAACCCTAAACCCTAAACCCTACCGTTTTCTCGCCAATCCACTTGGGGGAGTTCAGCGTCCTGCCCACAATGGCCCCCAAAGGGTCTGCAATAAAAGTGGGGGCCAAAAAGCCAATATCTAATTCGAAGAAAACAAAAACCAAAACTAAAAGATTAAATATTATAATGCCTTTGTCCCCGAAGCTCCCAAACCTGCGCAAAAAACCCCAAACCCTAAACCCTAAACCCTAAACCCTAAACCGTGGGCCCTAAACCCTCAGCATAAACCCTAGTTGGTGATCGCGTTTTGCTGCAGGGGGGAGGTTTGCGGGCTGCCGGCGGCGGTGCGAGGGCGAAACCCTAAGTTAGGGTTTAGGGTTTAGGGTTTGGGACCTGAAGGGCCTGAGGAAGCAGAGGGAAATGGCAGCAAAGGCCACGGTGCAAACCGCCAATTTAGCGTGTTGCGGGCTGCTGCAGGTCTCGGGCAGCAGCAGCAGCAAAATGCAAAATCCCATTGAAAGATGAGTGAGTTTTCTGGCCAAAAATGGAGAAAAAAAAGAATTAAATTCAAAGAGACACAGCAGCAAAACCACCAGCAGCAGCAGCAGCAGCGTGGCCGCGTCCACCTCCCCGCTCGGCAGCCCCAGAGGAGTCCCCATTGCCCCAAAACCCCAAACCCTAAACCCTCGGCCAAACCCTAAACCCTAAACCCTAAACCCTCGAGGCGCAGCAGGCCACCCGCGGTCGCTGCCCCGCAGAGAATCAGCAGGCTTCTGCCCCAGGCCGGCCGCCCGGCTAGGGTTTAGGGTTTGGGGTTTAGGGTTTAGGGTCTAGGGTTTGGGGCGCGGGCCAAGGGTTTAGGGTTTGCTGCAAGAAAGGAGAAGAAGACAGATCGGGCCCCGGAGGGTCGGCGGAGTTTTCGTCTTTTGCCTCTTTTTTCCCTTGAAATGGAATTAATTAAATTATTTCAACAAATTTGATTTGAAAAAACTGAATCTAATTTAATTTAATTTCATTAATTGCAACAAATAGGCAGAAATTCCCCAAACTGGTCACCCCAAGCCGGAGCAGCCGGGGCCCCCCCGAGCCGCCGAGTGTACGGACAGCTCACAGCGACGGAATTTCCCGGAACTTTCTCTTGTTTTCATTCATTTCATTTAAATCAAATTATTTCTGCAAATTTATGCAAAAAGGAAAGAAAATCCCGCCAAAAAAGGGCTCTTTCCCGCAGAGGACGCGGGGCCCCACACCCTCCCAGTGTCTGTACACCCCAACGGCGCCCGCAGCGCGCAACGCTCTGAACTTCAGGTGTATGTACACCCCAAACGAAACTCTGATTAAAACCACAGAGCCTCAAGCGCAGCACTTTCTTCTTTGTAGCTAGCTAGCCCCCGTCTGGCCGCTGCAACGGCTAGCCCCCCACAAACTACCAGCTAGCTAACTTGCTAGCCAGCTAGCTAGCTAGCAAGCTAGCCAGCCAACTAGCTAGCTAGCTAGCTAGCCAGCTAGCTAGCTGTAAAGCTAATGGGGATGGGCCACAGAAGACTAAGTTCGCGCCTAGCGGTATGCTGGCCCAGGTATACTGCTACCTGGCTAGCTAGCAAGGTAGCTAGTTAGTTAGCTAGCTAGCTAACCGGCTAGCTGGCTAGCTAGCTAGCTAGTCCCAAGCAGACTCTTCGGGAGAATGCTGCTGCTGTGGCTCCCCAAGCCAGCCCGCCCTGTTTGCTGCTAGGGTTTCTATCTTCTTTAAAACATCCGTGCGACTGAAGACCGAAAGCTGCTGCTGCTGCTGCTGCTGCTGCTGCTGCTGCTTGCTGCTGGCGTCAAGGTCTTGAGAAGCAGCAGGAGAGTTGGGCTGCTGCTGCTGCTTCTTCTTCCTTTTCTTTTTGTTGCTGCCTTTGGGGCCAGCTGAAGCAGCAAGGTCCGCTTCCTGCTGCTGCTGCTGCTGCTTCACTTTCTTCTTGGCTTTCTTTCCCTCCTTCTGTAGAGATTCCAACTCTTGCTGTTGCTGTTGCTGCTGCTGCTGCTGCTCCCGGTGCAGCTTCTTTTTCATTTTAGCTTCACGTTGTTCTGTGTGTGCTGCTGTTTCTTTAAATTCATTATTTTTAATATTAAATTTTTCCCCTTTAATTCTTCTAATTGTTTCTTCTTCTCCAATATTTTCCCCTTTTTCCTCTATCTCCTTCAGCTCCCTTTTTTGTCTTTTTTCCTTTTTATTTTCATCTTTATCTTCAAACTTCTCCTTTTCTCTTTTTCTTTTCTTTTCAGGGGGGCCCCCAAGACCCTCTTTGCTTTCTTGGGGGGCCCCCCTATTTAGGGGCCCCTCTTTGGGGCCCCGTGCCCCTTGGGGGGCCCCTGTGGGGCCCCCCAAACCCTCTTTAGGGGGCCCCCCTGGGGGCCCCCCTGTGGACCCTTTTGCGGGCTTCCGTGGGGGCCCCCCTGGGGGCCCCCCGGCGTTGTGGTGGATTCTGTTGAGGATTTGTTTGAGTTTTGAAGGGCCTTTTGGAATTAAAGGTTTTGTGTTATAAATTTTTAAAGAAGGCAAAGAAGAAAGACAATAAGCTTTCACTTGTTCCTGAATAAAATAAAAGAAAAGAAATTACATTAAATTAAATTAAATTAAATGAATTTTCAAATTTAGAGATAAAACAAAAAAGAAGGAAAGAAAGGCAAATGAATGATGCAAAAGAATGAAAATAAAAAATAAAATAAACAATTAAATTAAACCTAATAATTAAATTGAATCAAATTAAAAAAAAAAATTAAAAATAAAATTAAAAATATAAAAGGAAATTAAAAACTAACCGCTTCCTTTTCAAGGGCCGGGTTTCCAAGGAAATTAACTTGAGTGATCTTCAAGTGGGGCCCCACAGGCTCTATATCCCTGAAGCAAACCCTAAACCCTAACCCTAAACCCTAAACCCTAAACCGTAAGCCCCAAACCCTAAACCCTAAACCCCAAACCCTGTTCCTGCTGTCCCCCTGCGTTCCCCCCGCTGCGTTGAGAAAGCAAATTCACCCTAGGGTTCGCCAGGGCCTACGGCTTAGGGTTTAGGGTTTAGGGTTTAGGGTTTGTCACTGGAGGGAGGCGAGGAGGTTGTGTCCCAAGTCCAGAATGCCCAAGCTGGGCATACACCTCAACTCTTCTGTCAATTTAATTATTTTATTTTTCGCCAATCGCAATTCAAAAAGAGAACTCAACCGCTCGCTAAACGGGAAGTGCTGCGTGCAAACCCCAGAGAACTGGCTAGCTAGCTAGCTAGCTAGCTAGCTAGCTGGCAAGCTGGCTAGCTGGCTGGCTGGCTGGATAGCTAGATAGCTAGCTGCATGGCTGGATAGCTAGCTCGAAAGCTAGCTCGCTAGCTGGCTCAGCAGCTGGACAGCTAGCTAGCTGGCCGGCTAGCTGCCTAGCTGGCTAGCTAGCTGTACAGCTAGCTAGCTGGCTGGCTAGCTGGCTAGATGTCGGGCCTCCTAGCCAGCTGGCTGGCTCTATCCAGGCCTCGCTGGCCAGCCAGCTAGCTGGGCAGTTGGCTAGCTGGCTAGCTAGCAAGGTGGCTAGCTGACTCGGTGTCTAGCTAGCGAGAAGCCTATCCGGCTAGCTAGCTAGCTAGCTAGCTAGCTAGCCAGCTAGCTATGTGGCTAGCTGGCTAGTGCAACTGGCTAGCTAGCTAGCTAGCTAGCTTCCCCGGAACCAGCGCCCCAAACAGCTGCTGCCTGGGGCGCAGGCCCTAGGGTTTAGGGTTTAGGGTTTAGGGTTTACCTTTAGCTGGTTCTCAGAAAGAGAAAGCTTTTTGAGATTTGGCAGTGGCTGAGGGGGATAGGCAAAAGAAGTGATTTGGTTTCTTGAAAGAACTAAACAAATAAAAATAAGAATAAAAATAAAAATAAAAATGAGGAATTAAATTAATTAGTTTCAATTAATCATTTTATTAATTAATTGATCAATTAATTAATCAATTAATTGTTTAATTAGCAAAGTGAAAATGAGATAATAAATATGAGAAAAGAAAAAAATAAGAAGAGATAAAGGATATAAAAGAAATCAAAATTAAAAAATAATAGAAGAAAAAAGAAATAAAATAAAAGACAGAAACAATAAAAGTGAAAAGACAAAAAGAGATTTGAAAGGAAAAATAAAAAGTCAAAGAAAATAAATAAAATCAAAAATGGAAATAAATGAAATAGAAAAAAACAAAAAACAAAAGACATAAAAAAGCAGAAGAATAAAAAAATGAAAATAAATAAATAAAGCAAATACAAACAAACTACAAAATAAAGTACTAAAAGTTAAAAAAATTAATGAAAAGAAATGAAATAGAAGTTTGAAATGAATAATATGGAAATAAAAATAAAAACACGAAATAAAGAAATTAAATGAAAATAAAAACAAAAATATGAAGAAATAAAGTAAAAATAAAAAAGAAATAAAATAAAATAAATATAAATATAAAAATAAAAGTGTTTCTTACTGAGGACTTCCACTCTCGTCAGGTATTGCCCAAAAGGGACTCTTCCTGAAAAAGAAATAAAATTAATTAAATTAAATTAAATTAAATTAATTAAATCGATTTAATTCAATTAATTTAGTTGAATTAATTAAATTACATTAAATCAATTAAATTGAAGCAATTGGTTGTTTGATTCAGCTGCTTTTCGCTTTCAACGACAAGCCCTAAACCCCAAACCCTCGACTCCGCGCCTAGGGTTTAGGGTTTAGGGTTTAGGGTTTGTACGGATTTCGTTTTCGCTCAAAATGAGAACCTTGAGGCTCGGCAGGCAATCAAAACCCTCAATCGCAGTCAGCTGCACCACAAACCCGAACCCTAACCCCAAACCCTAAACCCTAATTAAGCGGCTTAGAAAAGCTCCTCAGGGGGCCCCCGGGGGCCCCCCAGGCCGTGGCGAGTATCTTTTTTTCCGTGAGTTCATTTTTTGTGGCTTTTTGGGATTTGGACTTCAAAAAAGAACAAAAAAAGAAGTAAAAAGGAAATGAAAAGACTTATTTAAATTAAATGGATTAAATGGCATTAATTGAAATTATTTAATTAAAAAAAGGAAAAACTCGCCTTGTTGGCGCGGAGGTCCAGCAGGCGGAGGCTGCTGAGGCTGCTAAGGGCCCCCCCCAGGGAGGAAATTAAATTGCTGCTGAGTTTTAATTCTTTTAAATTAAAATTAAAATTCAAAAAGTCTAAATTAATTATTTTGTTGAAAGATAAATCTGCTTTTTCGAGTTGCTTCAGAGGCCCCAGGTCCTCAGCTGTACAGACACCCCGGCCCCGCAGGTCCAGCGCCCGCACCGCCCCCAGTCCCCCCTGCTGCTGCTGCTGCTGCTGCTGCT